GATTTTTAACTGGCTTCAAGAGACATTTTGTCACCCGCTGTGGCAAGGAGAAGTTTCTCCGCACTGTTTCACCGACAACAGCAGGTACCTACTCAGTAGGAGGATTCTGTACCATAATACCGATTAACTCAAACGAGCCGTTTTTCAAATTTACAACCAAAGGTAGTGTGCGAAAATGCGTAATGGAGTATAAAATTTGGGTCCGCGTGACACACTACGACTGAAAAAAAATGCTGTTATCGAGGAAGTGATTTTGTTTCTATACGTTTTCGTCTGTGCATAGTGTGCAGTAAATGTATGCACGTAAATCCCGACTCGGGATTTGCCTACATAATACGAGTATTTATAAATGAATTTTTATTTTTGTTCCGCTCATTCGACGGAAAACTCTTTATCCCAAATTTTAACACAAAATGGTGGGTAGTTAATTTTGTGTAGACAGTGACTCACGGTGTTTGGTGCATGTATAACGGATGCAGTTTGCGTATCACCGTTTTAATCTTACTCGTACCTGCAGATGAAGCTGAATATCTATTAAATTGTATTTCTATCGACGTCGCAAAGGAAACCCTGCTTTATTTGGACATCCGTTCCCAGATTGTGACAAAACGGTGAGACTGTTTTTATACTACAAAAATGTGCCCTGCGGCCTGCAGTGAGTCAGCAGACCGGAGCGCAGCGGCTCAACACGTTGACTAGATTCAGGTTGAATAAGCGGTTTTTCACAGTTTTGTTATGCCAGTGATGGAATTTTGCAGCAGACAGGCATCAGTAGCAGCACTGCATTTCTGCCGACATACAGCCAGGCAAAGTCGCAGTAGATGACCTGGATGACGCTGCTGGAGCCTTTCGTAACAGACAGACCTGCTTCTGCTTTTTGGTATAGTTAGAAGACCTTCGCTGCGCTCCTGTCGATAATGTCACCATAGTTTGATTTGAACGTGATTCAGTTTCGCTATACATACACTGGCTGCCCTTGGTTATAGAGTGTGCCCGTTGTGGAACTTGTTACTGTCCGAAAGCAGTTGGCCAGCCTGCGTGACAATTGACTTTAGTGGCATACCGCCATTCGACAAACCCGTCAAACGATACCACTACGGATTTGTGCTGACCCAGGCCATCAGCCGTGCCCCCCCAAATCTTGTCACTGATTAATCTGAGCCATGTCACTGCCAATACGTATGATGTTGCTGCATTTCTGAATATTACCTCCACCATGCTGACCATGAGCAACGTTTATATATCTAAGCTTCTGGTGAAACACTGCGAGCTCACTGTTAGTCGACCGTCCCCGGTTATGTTCTCCCACGATAGTTGGATCCGCACAAGCAACCTTGACAGTGCGCCTCTTTACAGTGACTTGCTACCCTTGCGCATGCTGAACGTCTGTCGTCAGCTGGTGCTTTCACAGTATACTGTGCACTTTGAAGTGAATTTCGATAAGGAAACGTGCCCATACTATGCCGCAGATCGGATGCCGGGTTTTATCGGTTCGAGTGCACCATGCATTCGGAGTATCATGATCCCCCATCTGAGTTTCGATTCCGCGGAGACCAGGGAAGAAAGCGCACTCCGTTTGATGCACACATAAGATCAATGTTGCCCCCCGTTGGATGCGTTTACGAGAGAAAAGCTGCGGAAACGGCACTGTGGCTGGGCCCGTAAAGTACCATATCCGGGGAGAGAATGGGAGCTTTTCAAGCAGCACTTAGACTAGTAAATTCCTTGTAAATGGTCAGCTGGCAGCCTGACACGTACAGTTTGTTTAAATTTACACTGCTTTGCAGTTACAAAATCCGCCAACCAGCATTTCGGATTCCGGATCTAAGAAATTTCGACAGCCTTGCTTTTGGAAACATCTGTCTAACGATTCTTGCTCGAGACTACGTTAAGCCGTAAACATTTCCGGAATACTGTCGCAAGAGGAGGGAAAGAATTTTAAGACAATCGTTTATAATAATTATTACGTGTGCAGTTTATCGCTGATTTTTTCTACAAAAATCCGGCGACACATACTACGTAGACGTTGTTCGATCCGTTAATATTTTGTTGCGGTGTCACAACAATGTGTGACGAGTTCTTTTACCTGTATGTGACCTTATAGTGTGTTGTGTGTCTGAGCCCTAATGAAAGGTCAACGATGACCATTACCTATGTATATTACAAACGAACCAAACAACCAGGTGTGCACGACCTTTTAATAATCTTTGACCATTGCCCACTACAGTATAATTACCATTAGCTGATCAGTACATTAGAAAAGACTCGAATGAGTACTGGACTGAACTGAATGTCTTTGATAGGCTCTTTATATATGGATCCGGACCGGTTGGGGTGTGATCGTGACTCATCCCTATGATGTCATTATGATGTAACAATGAGTAATTATGACGCAGTTATGACTGCATTGTCCTTGGCGTTCGACCTTGACGGGCACGTGGTGGCCTCATGTATGTGAGTCATCGTGACAGCGGTCTGTACAATAACAGGACAAAGCGTATTGTGGCTTAGTATAGCAACCATGCTGCTATTGTATTGTCATCCGTGTGAGACTATCAGTGTGTGTGATACCAAACTGCAGTAAACTACGAGGCGTGACACGTATGTCCGTAAGTTGACGGAAAATGACGTCGATTTGCGAGTAAAACTGTCACATTTACCTCCGCAGCCACTTAGTGCTTTCATTGAACTTTCTGTTGCAGTTGTAATAATGGAGTAAGTGTTCTTGCCTTGCCTTTCATGGCATTAATTGCACCGAATAGTTCCGCCCAAATCCAAATCCGTACTTTGTACAATAGTGAAAGGTCATCGTTCTTTGCTTTGCCGTAGCCGATTTAATCCAGCGCAGTTAACGTGTACCATACCGTTACATATGTAACGTAACATATCGATCGATTTTCGATCACAATTACAGTGGTGAAGGTGCATTTTTTCCACTATTGAAGCACGCTTGGTACGACCATCGCCCATTTATTTATTATAGGTGCCCAACCGAGCGCCCACGCGGGTTACTTTGAACTAGCATTTAATAAAACACTTAACAAAACACTTCGCGCCTGTGGTTCCGCGAATATCCCGTCAGTTCTGGAACCACCCGGTCTTTATCGCGATGTCAACAAAAGGCCGGACGGCATGACCTCGGTTCCCTTCAGCCACGGAAAGTCTTGGGTTTGGGATGTCACTTGCCCGGATACCATGGCCATTACCTATATCGCGAGGACGTCCGAAGAGGCAGGCGCCGCCGCCACAATGGCTGAGGCAAAGAAAAACCAGAAGCACGGATTTTTACGTGAAAATTTCATTTTTCTGCTCTGGTTTTTGAAACAATGGGTGCATGGGGCAAGGAATCCAAATGTAAGATGTCTTCGCTCGGTAAAATGCTGTTTGAGCACAAGAAAATAACGAAAAATTGTAGAGAAAGTGCGGGATTCCCATGTCAACTGGAACCGACGGGTTTATCACAAAGCGAGGCGATTCGTCCTGACGGCATGACGCTTATCCCAGTCCGTCAGGAAATGTCAATTGTATGGGACGTTACAAGTTGGTGTACGGTAGCTGACTCCCATGTCCACGGAAGTTCGAAAAAAGCGGGAAGTGTTGCTCACCTGGCGGAAAATGCAAAGCGACGGAAGTACTCTTCGCTGGAAAATTGGCATCTACTTTTTTATCCGTTAGTGGTCGAGACGTTTGGTGTTTTCGACCTTGCTTTAAGTGAACTGGTACATTTTATGGGCCGAAAAATTCGTGACTTGACTGGAGAAGCGCGTTCCACAGATACTGCTTTTTCAAGCAACGCTTCAGTTTGGCTGTCGCTAAGGGCAACGCTACAGCTGTGTTAAGTACTTACTTTACCTTTTAACCCGCCCATGGATAGAGATTTTGGTTGTTTTTTTAATGCTTAAATTTTAACTGTGAAGTAGTGTGTCCGCGCCTGCATTTTATTGTTTTGATGGCTATTGCCTATTAAAATACATATATGAGTTTTTGCTGTGGCTTATTTCCCATTAAGCAACCGGCTCGGATTCCCTCCACTCGTGCAATATTCCATGTTGTCGTTGTCTGTGGATGTTTTCTCTCTGCTTAATTCCCAGATCGATATATTGCATCCCTCCCATCTTACTGTCGATTGCGAGACGGTAAAGCGTTGAGCAGACGTTTCGATCGACGCAATGTGGTTGCCATCCGGTAGTCGGGGTTCGATGAGTACTAAGCAAAAGAGCAGAGCGATGCTTCCGTCGTTTCTCTTTTGGCCGTTGTTTTTTCCTTGGCAGAAATGGCCACTAGCGCATACTTTACGGGTGGCAGACGATTGTACAAAGATCGTTTTAACGTAAAAAATCCCGTCCTTGTTCATGTATCGGATAGTTTATACTACCTGGGATATCTTCAGGATGTTGACGGTGACGATTTCTTTGTCGATTTTGATTGCAGCACAATTCCGCCATGGTGGATATCGGCATCGCGGGTGTGGTTTTACAACCCTGACAAGAAATACTATTCTAATAGCAGAGAGTCACCCGACATATTTGTGGCTTTACGAAATGACTCAAATGGACCATACATCTTCCGACCGGCTAAATTGTTGTACCTGTATAATAATTTGGTTATATGCCGTGTTATCGGTTCGCAAGAAAATCCAGACGGAACCTGCCTACATGTTGTACACCGTTGGCAGATTGCTAAGCATTTACCATTATTATATTTGGAGATAGACGAATATTCTCTTGGCATCTTAGATGTTGAAAAGTTTGTGATTTCGTTGAAAAAGCCGCATGTCTTCGAACGGATCGATGAAGACGGTGTTACCGCATTGACGCACATGGCTTTTCGTAGTGCTAGTAGCAGTCCATTTGCAAATGAGTTCGTGGATCGAATCTTTGTACAGGCTAAGGAGAACAAGATAATTTTTCTTATTGCGCATGGAGGGTTTTTTCACCCTTTGAGTCACAGATACTACTTTGCCCGCTCCAGTTGCACAGTACACTCCAGACGCTCAAAAACAGTCCAAAGATTTCTTTCCTGCTTTATGGAGCATCTTATGAATCTCTGTGACAAGGAATCCTGTTCCCCCACTATTTCATCGAAACTGCCAAGCACCTGCGTAACCACTCGAAAAGGTAGAGGTACAGAAAATAGCAAGTCCCAGATCCGCTTATCAGGGTAATACCACAAGAGTAAAAACTTAGGACCATGGGGAATAAGTCTGCCTCATAACACCACGAAAACGCGCGAACGAGAATCTCTTTAATCTTAACGGAATAAAAATCTTAACGGAAGCAAGCGTACAGTAAATGCTGCAGGTGTGTGCCCCAATTGAATCTAGCAGAGAGCTTTTGCCTAAACGGATGACATTTCTGCTTTGTAATTTCCTTACATGTATAACGGATGCTGTGGTTTTTACGCATGCACGTATGATTGTAGTTGCAGATGACGATGAACGCTTAATAAATCATCTTTCAATTGATGTCGCAAAGGAAACTCTGTTGTACTGGGACATCCATTCCCAGATTGTAGCAAAACGGTGAGAGATGTATAAGTAATAAAACCAGTTTGCTGTTTACCATGTTTTTTTCCAGATGTAAACTTCACTAAAGTTATACATGTTATAAGGTTTAGGTTTGTAGGACGCACCTTTGATTTAATAAGGTTCCACTGCAGAGTGTGCTTTTTGTGGAATAAAGTACTGTCTACCTACAATACATCCGAATGCGTGACAATTGACTTCAACAGTAACAACATATCGTCAGTTCAACAACCCACCCAAAATTATAACTATGGATTTGTCCTGCATCGTGCCGTCAACAGTGCCACCAAAATGCTGTCGCTCATTAACCTACGCCATCACGCTGCCAACAGTTTTGTTGTTGTGGCGTTACTGGACATTACCGTCACCGTACTGGCCATGAACAACATTTACCTATCGGTGCTGCTGGTGAAACATTGTGACGTCACAGTTAGTCGACCGCTTTTCACCGTGTATGGTTGTGATAACTGGATCAACACATGTTTCCGCAACACTGCGGTCCGTCACAGTTCCTTACTGCCTTTACGCATGATAAAAGTGTGCCGTCAGTTACTGATATCCCGGTATACTGTGCACTTTGAAGTGAATTTCGATAAGAAAACGTTTCCCGACTATGCCGAAGATCGGATGCCGGGCTTCGTCGGTTCCAGTGCACCGTCCCATCTGAACCTCGAAATTCCTCATCTAAGTTTCGATTCCGAGGAGAGCACTGAAGAGCGCGCGTACCGTTTCCTGCACACATTGGATGAACGTTGTCCCCCAGTGGATATTGTCACGCGAGAACATCTGCGGAAACTGCACTCTGGCTGGGCTCGCAAAATACCGTATCCAGGGAAAAACTGGGAGGTCTTCAAGCAGCATTTAGACTAGTAAATTCCCTTAAAAATCGTCAGTTTAATTTTATTCCATATCTACAGTTTTGTTTAAATTTACACTGTTTGTAGTTACCAAACTCGCAAGCCAGCTGCTCCAGCCGTATATTGGAACGTTCCGGATCTAAGAAATTTCGAAAGCCTTTCTTTTTTGGAAACATCTGTCTAACGATTCTCGCTCGAGACTATATTAAGCGGTAAACATTTCCTGGATACAGTCGCACGAGGGCGGAAAACATTTTAAAGGCATTCGCTTATAATATTGTAGCGGTAGTATGACCGATAAGACCAACCAGTAGTGATACATCATATCATCGCGACATCGCGTTATGAATTTCTGTCCATTTTACACACTACCTCTTTCTTTAGAATTTCTAGATTTCAGCCTTGCATCTACTTGCTGCCGCTTGTTCCCTCTTGCATAATTTCTCGCAACAAACTTGCTTTGTTTCTTGTATGCCCTTGTCATTAAGCATGCCGTGAGTTGCGCTGTTGCATTTACCGCTTGGTACGAACCTACGGCATCCCTATCGGAGCCACTTGAGTAACTGCGTTAAGTCGGTCCAGAGCGTCCTCGGCCGCACAACACCAACCTTTTATCCTGAAAGCCACATAACCGTGGTAAAGGCCGATCGCCACCCCACCGCAGCCAGAGAGGTTGTTGGTACGATATTAATGATCGTCATATTCATGCCGTAATGTTTTATTTTAATTTTGATACGGTGTTACCTGGGTCGTTGCGGCGTGCACATGCTGCGTACTGCATTATCGCTGAATGTGATGTGTCTGTATTCTGCAGTCTCTGTATTAAGTACCACTGGTGACTGGACCACTTGATATGCGCAATGATTTTTTGCCCTGGCTATGATCAAAGACAATTAAATTCTCGTTAAGTCCGAATGTCCGATTGACAGTGTATTAAGTAAATTTTGTTCAATATTTACTTGTACAACTAATACATAAGTATGCCGGGAAGTTTGAACATCTTGATGCATCCGTATGATTCATCCACAACTAACAAGTAAGAAAGCCGCACTTGTGTCGAGCCTGCTGTGCGTGCGCTGCATCGATCGATCAATCAGCTCAAACATGAATTCTGACTACATCAGCGGAGTATGGTACAAACATGACTACTAACCGTCAGTTGCCATGCGGAGTTTTAAGAGCTTCCATTTATACGATATGCTGTGCATGCTATGTTTCATTATGGAACGAGCCGAAAGCAGATGTTGGCATTAATGTGTATCAGTTTCTCTAGCTCTTTTTCTATAATTCTGAAAATGTACAGATAGGTTGGCAATGGATAGTTTTATCATATTTTTTTACAGCACAAATTGTTTACGTTTTCCTTGGCACCGCTTCCATCTGAATTTGTGTCCCAAGTTGCTATGATTTCTGGTTAATTTTTACGATCATACTTATTTCATCAAGTATCTGTAGAGCGGAAATTTCACATGAAAATACGTACTGTATGTTTTTTCCAGGCTTGAAATTTAGCCATGAATTCCTATTTTAGCTGCGGCGCCCGGCGCGGTCAGTTCAATCTTGGTAACACCGTCCTGGTGAATTTAACCAGCGTCGACGAATTTGTTCTGGGATATCTACAGGATATCAATGCCGACCAGGTTTTTGTTGATTTCGACAGCGAGCGCACAGCACCACGGTGGATCCCTATGCAGCATGTGTGGCATCATGACAAACCCGGTATATCATACGGAACTCCCTGTAACGTCTGTGTGGCCATCCGCCGGGAAGCTGGTGAACCGTATGTCGTCGGCCTGGCAAAACTGCTCTGCAACTGCAGTTACGAGAACCAGTTTCTTTGTTGCGTTGCTGAGCATGTTTCATGCAGTACCGAGAAGTATATTGCTCATATCGTGCACTCCTGGCAGCTTGTTCGCCAGCTTCCCAAAAAATCGACAAACTGACAGAATTTGCCGTTTTCCCATGCAAAAGGTGGTGTATCGTTCCGCGAAGCTGCGTGCTCTAGGTGATATCCAAGAGTGGCATATTGAACGGGTACTCGATGTGGGATTTCGCCATGGAAGGAGGCCGTTGGAACAGGGGCGGGATCGTGTATTTGTACGGATTAGGGAAGACGAAATAATGTTTCTTAATATGCGCATACAGTGCGGTTGCCCTCCCGTCCGGGGCTACACTTGCGGGCAGTCTCCCTGCTGGTTGACAGCCACCACGAGGAAGGTTGCCAACGGGATCGAGAAGTATCTTTTCGAGGCTTGCGGTCGGGCAGAGCTTCCGCTCTATAACTGCCAGCAATCAGACGTAATGGTTTTGCCGCCGTTTGCTTCAGGTGAGCACTAGCACGTTGACGGTGCCTTTAGATGAAGCGCACTCCATTGAATACTTTGGTGTCCAAACAGTTTCGCAATGTTTTAGATTAAAGTGGAACAAACGAAGTATTGAAAAACTTAATTGTAGCAGGCGGCAATAATGTACTGTAGAGCAACTGAAAACTTCTAAACTCAACTCTACTAGGTGAAATTTAGTTTCTTTCCTCATTCCAGAAGAAACCGAAGTGATGCTTCCCGATCTACCATCTGAAATCCTTTCTAGAGTCGTGTTTTATTTGGACACCGTTTCGCAGGCAAAAGCAATGCGGTGTGTTTTTAGGACGATAAGCGTATGCGTTGTATGCACGAGCCTTCTTGAACCTTGTAGCTTTATTTCATGGTCACCAACGCACGATAATTAAGCGAAACTTGGGCTATATTGCAGATAATAAAACGCATTTTTGTGCTATAGAGTTTGCGAGCTCTGGAACGTTTTACTTCGCGACCAGACATTGCCCGGTGTCGTTATTATCGATTTCTGCGCATTACGTCCGCAGTTACAACAGCGCGCGGAAACGGAAGGGTATGGCCTCGGACGGCTGCTCCATCGGATCGTCAACACCAACACAAAAATTCTAGCATTAATCAACATGAGTTACCGGGCGGATAGCATTGACCCCGTTATTTCGCTCATTGCCGATATTTTAGTCCTTATGAGTATCAGAATTCCCTTAATTATTGTCAAAAACTGCTGGGCCCCTATCAAAAGCCATCTGTCAGTGTATTTCATGAAAGGTACCCTCTGGATAATTCCGATTGGCGACAGATTAATTTTCCACTATTTCTCCTAAAGAAGGTCTGTCGTCGTATCATAGTGTTGAATGCGGTGGTCGGTTGCGGTGCATGGGAAAATGCGTTATTTCCATGTCGAAGGCGAAAGAGCGATACACCGATGCAGCGTGACAGCCTAATCATTGCTATACCGAGGCTGGAGTTTGATCAAAACGATAGCGATGCCGACAACATTGTGCAGCTGAAGCAAGCTATGGAACGCAACTGCCCATCGGTTGATCAGTCCGTTAGGAATCAAATCAAGGCATTACATACCGGTTGGGTCAAACACTTCGCCTATCCTGGTGATGGGTGGGAAGGACTGCGGCGCCTTGTTTGCATGTACGTACGTTTTCTGGTACTAGTATTATCTGTGCAGCTTCACTGCTTTGACCTTACGAACGCTCGAGCGACCCCGACATGGTTCTGCACGCAATCCGAACGCGAACCAGAGTTTTCTGGGTTTCCGCCAAATCGGTGCTGAGTGCATAGTGAAGTGATCACATATTAAGCGTAGCCACTTGATGGTCAGTGCACAGCGCAAGTGGCTAAAAAATCTATTTTATTTTCTGTGTCAAAATGGAGATTATCGTCCGCCAACATAAATTTAACAGCTGGTTTATCTTGTGGCCACCTGAGGGAAACGAAACATTGTCCTAAATTGTGCTTACTATGTGTGTAATACAGATGCGGTCATTATTGAAACAATATTTGTTGTTATAGCTTTGGAACATGCGAAGCAGCGGACCGTGCTCAGTTTTCCGATTGGTTGGATCGGCACAATCATACGATATATTATAACCACTTTGATTTGAAGGATTTCGACAGACTACCCATTGGAAACGTAATACTGACGATACTTGCCCGCACCAACATTCCGTCTTTTCAACGCAATGGCACCGATTCTCTTCTTTCTTTTGGAATTCATTCGGTTGAATCTTTTCCTTTGGAGTTTAATCAGTGTCAATTCAATCGATCTGACCAGTAAGCACTTTGACACAACTTTTACTGGGACATTTCGGCATAGTACTGCGCTGGGAAGTTCTTTGGACGCGATGATGTTTGGAAGAACGGTCTCTCGCGGCTTGTAGCCAAAGTTAATTTTCTTGAGCTGTTGATGTGCTGCACGAACGCCGATTTATGGTCCTGGAAGCCGCAAGAATATTTAGAACTGTTCACAGGGAAAATACCGCTTGATCGGTCCGTTTGGCACCACACCAAGACACTCCATGCCGGTTGGGTTAAACGGATCCCCTTTCCTGGTGATAAGTGGCACGGATTCCGGCGCCTTATTGAAGTGTACATTTTTTGGTGCTTAATCTGCACAGCTTCATAGTTACCCTAAAGGACGGTCTATTGATTAAGACGAGGGAGACGGCATTGTGCAGCTGAAGCAGCGTCACTGTCCACCGGATGGTCCGTCCGTTAAGAACCAAACGACAAACGAGCTGCACACCAGTTAGGTGAAACAGTTCTCCTATTCCGGAAATGGAGGGAACGAATTGCGGCAACTTTTCCAACTGTACATCTCTGGTGACTGGCATCATCCGCCTTTCGCTCAAGATCGCTCTGCCACCTGCAAAACCATTTACATATATTGTCAGATTGTGCAAACCCAATAAAAATCCGAATTTCTCGATGTGCGCCTTACGTTTACCGCCGGTAAATCGTCCAGCTCCAGTATATACGCAACTCTTTGTTATTTTTGCAGATTTGGTGAGTGGGATGCAAAGAATCCGAATAGTTTTGGCTATGCGATGGATTTAAAGAATTTCGAAAGCATGCCCATCGTAATTTGATCCATATTCATGAAGTTCAATTACTTTATCATGTTGATTGCTCGCATGCCACCAAACCCCATTGAATCAGTGAGCCAAATAATCTTTCCATCTGTTTTCATAACTCAAGTTTTGGCCTTTGTACTGTTTGTATGACACAGCTCCGCACATTCCCAACCTAACGGCGTTAGCAGATTTTGCTTTTATCAGGTTGGCTCTGTGGAAAGGTTACAAAGTTTCTAATTGTAATGTTGGTTAATTATTTTTTTGCAATATTATAGATGGTGGATGTAGCGTGTCCAGCGCAAAGCGCACTGTATTAGCAATTCATCCCTATAAAAGTACAAGCACAAGAACGATTTGCCTTCGACAAGCCTCACTTGAAGCCGGTTAAGTAGCCTACAGTAATAAGGAGTTTTCAGCGACGATTAAAGTAAGATGCTCTCGCTGTTCGATCAAAAATAAATATGCCGGCAGCATCATGACGCATGACTCATCCACAAACTAGGAAGCCGCACTTGTGTTTATAACAGTTTGTGTGAGCATACTGTAAAAAGCGGCGGCATCGATCGATCGATCAGCACAGGCATGATTTCTGACTACACGAGCCGAGCTATGGTATATGCTGCCGGTTGGCATCTCGCCATGCCGACTCATGCAGCCGTTTTACAAACGCTTATGCTGCACATGCTTATGTCAAGGTATCTAAACGTACGATCCAGACAAACCAAAAAATTAATCGAAAAACTGATATTGCCATTCGATGCCGCATGTCTG